CTGTAGCAAAGTCAGAATTTGTATTTGTCCAATGCAAAACTAACCACTAAGAAACAACTTTCAAAATTTGAATAAAACCTTTTTAAGGCTCTTGGTCCAGTGACTCTCCATTAGCTTTTACTATTAAATAAATAATTGCAAATGAAATGTTTTGACTAAGCAATCATTATGCTAAATAACTGAACAGGTAAAACGACAACATGGATGTAGAATACCCATCTCACAAGGACGTAATATTGTTAAATGTACACACTAGACCAGTGCTTCTCAACCTTTCTAGGGCTGGGACCCCTTGGTAACATTTGCCAAGTTGTGGTGACCCCCAACCGTAAAATGTAGGGATGCACCAATACTAGTATCTGTGTGGACTCTCGGGAGGCAATGCGGGCTCTCAGGTGGCTATTGGGACCCTCTGTAGGCGTCCAGTGTGGGCTCTGTGGTGATCAAGCACTCATCTCCCCTCACTTCTGCCTGCTCCCCTCTCTCTGATCCTCTCTGGCCATTGCTGCTGCAGCACCATCTAGGACAGTGGTTCTCAACTCGTGGGTCGCGACCCAAAAGTGGGTCGCGACACCTTTTGCAGTGGGTCGCGGCGTCCTTCCTGCAAAGAGCGGCCCATGTTCAGGAGGGAGACATAGAGGGGTGATTTGTGCGAGCCAGCCTGTGGGAACTATATATTGAAAACTGTTCCCTCTCATACACCCCCCTGCGCGTGAACTGACCCGGGGAAATCGGGGACTATTTCCTCACTTTCGGGCGGCGGAATACTAGACTTTCCTGTACAAAAATATACAAGTCTCCATTCAGTAAAGCTCATGTTCCTGCTGAATGGAGATCTCTACCTCTGCTTTGTTGGACCTCTGTAGAAAGACCACTGCTTCCACACACGTTTGGCACGCTGGCAGGGGACAGGCTCTTCTACTGAGGCTGGGACTACTTTTTAAACACATTTTTTTAGTTTTGATGCACATGGAATGTATTTAGCTGATTTAAACTGAAAGTTCAGTTGGGCTACTCCAATCTGTTAGGAAAGCTTTTATATACAGAGCTGAGTAATATCACTACAACTAAATCGGATTAGTTCTCATGGGAAACCACAGACACACTCATAAGAAACAATTTGCAAACCCTTAGGGATTTTATGGGTTTGGGCACAAATGGCTTCTAAATTGTGATTTGATATTTATTAAACATATAATTACAAAGACAACAACCTTGTGTAACAAACAAATTAAAGTTTTTACAGCTATAAATCGTATACAAAAATATAAAAGGTATCCAGTTTAAAGGCTGAATATACATTTAGAAGATACTGTCAAACTTTGACAAAATGACACATACCAAGTCTTATCAAAAACCCTTCTTCAGGACAATAAATAGAACTTTGCCAAGAGAGAAAGAGCTGCCAGTCATACCGAATTAGCTGTCAACCATACTCTATTTTCTAAGGTTCACTACATGCTGGCGATTTAGCACAGTTGGCTTCATAATAAACAGTGTCTATGAAATGAACTGTCCTATAAAAAGCAGACGTTTCCTTTTATTTTCCCATATTAGAAGAAGGAAGAACTGACTGGTTTAATAAACTACTGTATCAGACACCTAGAGAAAGAACACATAATGGGTGTTCCAGCATGCTCTGAAAAGCTACTAAACAGAACACGTTTAGTGGTTTATCATAATATGACATAAATATGTTCCTACCTGTAGTCTGGAAAACATGGACTAATAGCATTACCATGGCTTAGTGCCACGCGTGGATATTGTACCTTGCTTATCAAAATAGCCTTAAAGTACACCTGCCACTCTGAGAACACTAGCTCCCTGGGTGTTATGCCAACCTTCTTGCGTCAACAATTTGAATCACTGGCCAGGAACAAGTGGACAGATTAGGACTTCTGGCTTTTCTCCAAATTTCCTTATCTATATACTTGTCCCAGATCAGTGACTCTGAAAGTGCTAAATCCAGAAGGCCAGCATAAGGACCAGGCAACTAGTATCTTCAAAACGGAAGTCGGCAATGGCCACCACCATATTTTAGTACTGGCAGGTTTAGTTTAAAAGAGCTATTGTTGGTGACAAAACAAATGATTTCTGTGGAAGTCACCATACACCAGCGATGGACAAGTAATATGGAATTCAGGAATAAGCAGGATATTTTATAGGAGCCAGCTCCTTTGACGATGACTAGCAAACCTCAAAAGTTGGGCGCCAGCTGTCTTTTTTTAGGAAGCATTGGCTCCTGGGATTTGTCTATCCTTGCCATACTTAAAGTGACATTAAACCCTCAGATTTTTTAACATAAAACAATACTGTAATGTGTGCCTTACTGTAATCCATGGTAGTTTCCCTTCTCTTTGCTGCTCTTCCTTTTAAATCTGTATCGCTTCTCATGCTTGGGGAGAACTTCCCTTTGCAGCTCAGTGCCTCTTCCTGTAGTGCTGGCTCAGGTTGCAAACCTATACACAGACACCATGTATCCATTCCTGAGACAAGGCATTCTGCTGCAAAACAGAAGTTCTGCCCAGCATGAGAACAGATACAGATTTAAAAGGAAGAGCAGCAAAGAGAAGGGAAACTACCATGGATTACAGTAAGGCAAACATTACAGTATTGTTTTATGTTAAAAAATCTGAGGGTTTAATGTCATTTTAAGGTGCCCATACACTGGTCAAATTTCAGCCGGTTTTTAATGTACTGGCTGAAATTCGCACAATGTGTGGGGCTGTCGGGTCCCTTTCGGCCGGCATTCCTCGTTAAGCTGATCGAAGGAGCCTGCTGAAAATTTTTCAATCGTTCAGAGCCGGCAGCCAATGAGCTGCCCGTTCTGATTGGGTAGCCGGCGGCACTTTTCAGAATACAATGTAAACAGCGGGATTTCTCGATCGATACGCTCTTTGTGTTGATGGAGGAATAGAGTCATTTTTTTTTTCGTTCAGCAAAAAAAATTGATAGGTGTATGGCCAGCCTTAGACTTTAGGGAGATCACCCTACATAGACTTTTTTTTTTAAAGGGATCTTCAGAGATTTTACACAGCCAAATTATTATTTTCTTTTTTTATCATTCCATACAAACAAGAAACATGGCCACAACAGACCATTCATTTAAAACATATTGCTTGCATTGCTTATTAAAGTCAATCTGTGTTGTGATCTTCCTGCTCTCTGTAACTGAATGAGGTCATCATTACATGTGTGTGGGTGGATCACTGGCCAATCCAATCACTCTAATGCACTCATGGAATGGCAACCTCACTGAATGAGGAGAGCTCCTAGTTTCCGGTCTCTAATGACTGCACACGACTTACCTGCAGGCCTCATCAAGGTACACCCCTATCCTGAAAATTAGAATACCACACCGACAATGCCAACCTATTTCCTACATTGACCAATGGCCGCCACATGAAACACACCGCTTGTAGAGTTGCTATTAATCCATGAAGGCTCTACAGATTCACAAAGCAGAATGACTACCAATGCAGATGGTGCCAAGCCTGCAATTCCACATTAATGTGAAACTTCACACTTGAAGCACAAGGATTGCCATTGTTTGCTTGAATACATTATGGCTTCTTACAAGTCTTCAATGCATTACAATAATCCCTGTACTTCCAAAAATAAATATACTCGCAACCTCCATGGATACATTACAGACCACACAAGCAGGCATCGTATGCCAAACACAACCTTTCATCATTACCACCACCATGAACAATAAAAATTAAAAAAAAAATAAAATGGCTCTAGATTATTGCCAAATAGGGAGGCCACAGAAATGCATTTCTAGAACATACCCGACCCGGATTTCTACTTTCATCATGTAACAGTGGTTACTTCAGGCCAACCATCTTCAATGTAACATTATTATTATTGCATACCCTTACTTCCATTTAAAAAGGGAAGGAAAAAAATATATCAATTGAAGGCATGTGTTCTGATCTATGGACAGACTCAAGAATAAATCTGGATTTCTAACACTGGCAACCTCTAACCCTAAATGACCTGCACTGGAATAAATAAAACACGACTGATAAAGAGGAAAATGAGATGTGTGGGGTTTTATATAACGCTCTTCGGACCGACAAGATGGAACATGCATGGCAATAACACGCTCACATCCTATACATGAGGCGAGGAATACACCGTTACACCCATAAATGACTGTGTGTATCAATGCATGTATCTGTGCATGTAAGTATAGGTGTATGTATGTGTGTAAGTATAGATGGAATATATATACATATATATATACAACGCTAAAACCAGCACTGGGCATATGCATGGTGCCAATGCTATAAAGAAGATGCTATTATACTGAACTGCCATCCACAAGCACACATAGCATGTCAATAGTGGTCCAATATGAGGCCCTCATGAAGGCAGCCCCCCTCCCTCCCCAATTGATTTGTGCAAGGGATATACACGGCCCTCATGAAGGTAGCCCCCCTCCCCATTTGATTTGTACAAGGGACATATATGAGGCCCTCATGAAGGTAGACCACCCCCCTCCCCATTTGATTTGTACAAGGGGCATATATGAGGCCCTCATTAGGGTAGACCCCCTCCCTCCCCATTTGATTTGTACAAGGGACACATATGAGGTCCCCCCCCATTTGATTTGTACAAGGGGCATATATGAGGCCCTCATTAGGGTAGACCCCCTCCCTCCCCATTTGATTTGTACAAGGGACACATATGAGGTCCCCCCCCATTTGATTTGTACAAGGGGCATATATGAGGCCCTCATTATGAGGGATTGGGTGTGTACGCACTATGGAGAACATGGCTGGAATTAGAGCATCCACTGTGGCCTATAGCCATCATGACATTGAATGGGGCTGTGTGTAATGAAATGTGCAAAGCATTGTTCGTGCCATCTGATCACCGTGTGATGATGCCCAGTCATGGATGTAGGCTGGCATGATGCATTCCTTTGTACTGCACTCTCTATGAATGGACACACATACAGATACATAGGCCGAACCCGGCTCCACACTCACCAAGGAGCAGCAGCTTGAGCTCCCGCCGGGCGTCCCTCTTGTCTCGGCGAAGCTGCCTCTCGATCTCATCGTTGATCCTCCTGGCTTCCTTGGCCTCCTCGCTGAGGCAACACGCCATGATGGACTCCAGAGTCATGTCTCCCGACTGGTGGAAAGAGACAGACCCGCCGCCGCTGCTGCTGCAAACCTTCCTTTGCAAAACAAGAAGAAGAAAAAAGGGGGGGTCGCGCTTCAGTAAGCCGGGGTGCAGTGTATACGGGGAGAAGAAATAAGGGGGGAGGGGTGCGCGTGCAGGGAGCAAGGCACTGAAGTGCCCCCAGCTGATCTGATGGCACCCCGGAGTGGGTGGGTACCGCCAATGCCCGTGGACACCTAACACCCGATCTGCTGTCACTCGCCTGCTCCAACTCCGCCTCCTCTCAGAACCATGCACCAAACAACATGGTGACATCCATGGCAAGACGAATCAGCACACTCCTTGGCAGCCGTGCCTGCTTCGATCGTGCCTTTCTGTCTTGTTTTCTAGCTGCGATCGCCCTATAATAGATGAGCCGGCTTCCCAGTATACAGCACCGCTATCAGGCAGATCGGATTGTGCCCTTCCCCCTCATACACATTTTTTTTTTCCTTTTCCTCCCGAATTTCAGCACACAGCTTTCCAATGTCTTTCCTGGCACTCCCGTGTGCTTCAGGCGGCCGGGCTGCTCACGTATGCTCGGTGACACAGGCTCTGTCTGCCGAAGATCATTTCCACAGTCAGCCTGCCTTTTCTTTTTTTCTCAATGGCTCTGCTCCCCGGGCGTGGTGAGGCAGAATATGGCGGACCTTCTCCAAGCAAGCAGGGATAGACAGTTATACACGAGTGCCAATCCAAAACAGTGATCGGCGAATGTCTGCCTCAGTGGGCTTTGTCCTCCTTTCCTTCCTTCCTCCCCCCACAAATCACTGCAGCCTGCTGCCTTCCATGACACCCCCTGCACACAAATACATGGCTCTCTGCTCTCGTCTAGTCCCTGCATGTAATTCTATTACAACCAATTCACTATTGGATCAGATGACGTTGAGGAACTGGGGAGGAGAGAACTGCAACTCCAGGGGAGGAAAGAGGGGAGAAATCAGCTCTGCTGCATGACAGGCTCAATGCACACATGCCTTTTCCTCACATATCTGCTGCGGGGAACAATTCTGTATGACACATGGGATCCTAGGTCATCCTCTGACACCATACTGCCCTGTAAGGGGGCATCGTTTATAGATATGTATAATATTGGGCACACTTTCTTCTCATTCACTTCCAAGGTCTACATTAGCTTCCTGCAATATAAAATGGCAAAAAATGTTTGGCCCATCCCTACCACCACCACCACCAGACGTGTCCCTGCTCCTGCAGCCTACTGGGATATTCCTGTCGCATATTCCAGGAGTCTGCAGGAGCAGGGACTCGCAGCAGCTGGAGCTAAGCTGCCCATGCATCATTGGGGGGCAGAACCCAAAAGAGACAGCTGGCTCCCGATGACATCACAGAAGAAGATGGCCTTGTGGGACCCAAAAGAGACAGCCAGGCCCTGATGACATCGCAGAAGAAGATGTTGGTGTGGGAACCAAAAGAGACAGTCGGCTCCTGATGACATCTCAGAAGAAGATGGCCTTGTGGGACCCAAAAGACACAGCCGGCTCCTGATGACATCTCAGAAGAAGATGTTGGTGCGGGACCCAAAAGAGACAGCCAGCTCCTGATGGCATCTCAGAAGAAGATGGTGGTGCAGGACCCCGAAGAGACGGCTGGCTCCCGTTCACATCACAGAAGAAGATGGTGGTGCAGGACCCTGAAGAGACAGCTGGCTCCTGTTGACATCACAGAAGAAGATGGCCTCCTGGGACACAAAAGAGACAGCCAGCTCCCAATGACATCCCAGAAGAAGATGGTGGACAGCCAGCTCCGGTTGAAATCGCAGAAGAAGATGGCAGCAGGGAAGCCAGAAGAGACAGCTGGCTCCCAATGACATCTCAGAAGAAGATGGTTGTGTGGGACCTAGAAGAGACAGCTGGCTCCTGATGACATCACGTAACAAGATGGTGGCATGAGATTCAGGCTGTGACAGCAGGACAACGCTGGATTGGCTGGGCAGGTAAGTATGTTTTCTGATGAGCCCAACCTAATGGCTAAGAGGGGATAGGGGGAAAACAAAAGCAGGATGGGGGCTGAAGAACTTTTTTTGAGGCTCAATTTACATATCCAATACGCCAGGATAAAGATCCTTATTTACAAAAAAGTTATTTTCAGTGGAGTCCAATGAGATTTGAAATTTATAGCCGCATGACCCAAATACAAAGCCTTATCCTTGTGTTAAAGATCTGTCAATTATAGACATATATCCTGTGAATGACTGAAAACTGTGCAGGTGCGGATCAAAAAAGAATATATACTCCCATGATTCTCCATCCCGCCGGTCTGCAAGACCGGTCCCCGCAGCCTCGTCTTCCCTAAGGTCCACTGACGTCATCACGTGTAATACAGGTCCATTGACTTGCATTAGACTTGAGTCCCCTACACAAAAAGAGCACTTAACCCTTCTAGTGCGTTGATAGCCCCACTGCAAGGGTACGTGTTTTAATTTCCAGTTCTTCTTTTAACTGAAAAAAGGTGTCCCTTTTCTGACAATAAGTATTCTTATCCTGGTATGTTAGCTTTGTGAATTCAATCTGAAGCCTATCACCACTTTTAAAGTCAAGTTTCAGGTTTGGCTGTTCACAAGGTGACATTACAGGTGAACTATTACAGGTGAGCTATGTAGAGGAGATACCATCACAGAATGTGTGCCTTGAGGACAGTTTTTTTTTGACAGTGAAGGAAGGGAATATTTCCCTATATAATCAGTCTCTATTTACTCATGCTGCTGTTGATGTTTAAAGCTGAACTGCAGGCACAAAAACAATCATTTAAATATATTCTTCGATACACACTAAGGATATACATTCTCTTTGGGTATGCTCACCCACTACAGCAGGGGTGGGCAAACTATTCAGCTGTGGTGAAACTGCAAGTCCCGTCATGCATCTGTGTCTGGGAGTCATGTCTGTGAGAATCTTGCAATGCCTCATGGGATTTGTAGTTACACAACAGCTGGAGTTGGCCCACCCTGCGTACAGGCTGCCTGCAGAAAACTAAAGGAGAAAGGTGGGGCAAGACCAGTCACCCTGAATAAGTAGAGGGAGTAGTGACCGGTCTTTATTACAGGAAGCCCCTGCACAGAGACAAATCTTCACACTGGATACTACAGAGATCTGGAAGAAATACACAAAGCACACCAAGATTCAAGTAAGAATACACATGCCTCTTCTATTTAGACAATATTTGCTCTCAAGTGTTTCAAGTTTATGCCAGCCGTACATGGTTCACATTTTGGCTAAATCAAGCTGTGGGTGGCCCTGTTGGGCCAAAATGCCTTAATGAAATAAAAATGTAAAATGCTAGCTAATATACTGACCACCAGTTTCCTTACTGCAGAGAGTAAGGTCACCATGCTTCTGTACAAGATCCCAGTGTATGCTGATACCATGATCCAGCACAGTGAACCAGATTTGAGCTTCTCATCATTCTGCAAGCTACTCATCCTTCTGAAGCTCATCAGAAGGATGGTGATATCACCCATGCCTAGGTGTCACAGGTAGAGGTCAAAGCGGAAGTAAAGTCATAAAACAAACTCTGATAGGTGGGCTTTGTATGACAGAAGAGACTCTATATATCTTTTTTGTTATAATTGCTCCTCCCTGCTTGTCCACATTTCTTTGCACTGAGACGCGCATTTGCAGATCAGTGCAGAAGCTCGAGATGAGGTCGGCCTGTGCCAGGATGAGATAACTCCTGTTCGTAGGCACGGGAGGTACAACATCTTGGTCAGGCCAACCAAGAGGCCGAAAATGCTAAGAAGAAGATTGAGAGAAAATGGAAGCGATGGAGGAGAGCACTGACTTTGCAGCGCTGGAGGGGATCACCTGCAAGGCTAAGTCTGCCATAATGTGTTAAAGGAGAACTATGGGGTTAAGGCTTTTCCCCATAGTTCTCCTTAGGGTAACGGGAGGACACAAACTAGCGTCCTCCCGTCACCCTAGGCTCAGTAGCTCGCGGTATACTGAGATGCCGCAGCTGAAGCGGATCCCGACAATTGTCCCGGGATCCGCCCAGCTGCGTGACTGACAGCTGGCTCTGCCTATCTAGAGGCAGGGCCAGCTGTACCCGCCCCCTCCCCCGTCCGATCCGCCAGTCAGCGCTGGCGGATCGGAGCGGGGGGAATCCAGCCCCTCCCCTGTCATGGCAGAGAGCCGTGACAGGATCGAGAGGTGAGCGAACGCCGGTATGTGTTCGCTCACCTCCCGATCTACTGAGACGACCTGTGACAGTTTCATTGTCACAGGTCTGCTAGAACTATGAGGTGAGTGGAAAGCACTCACCTCATAGTTCTCCTTTTAATATGCTGTGCATACTATCACATTATTAGTATTATACAAGATTTATAGAGTGCCAACAGTTTGGGCAGTCCTTTACAAAATATGGGGAGACAGTACAATTACAATACAATTCCATACGAGGGGATTAGAAGGACCCTGCTTGTGAGGGCTTACAATCGACAATCACATTATGACAAACACCTCTTGAGGGCCTTTGATTTGAATTTTGTGTTAGCGGTTTACTACCACTGTAACTTTTTTTACTTACTTAGTTTTCAATTTTAGTGCTGTGCTTTAGCATGCAGTAGGAAGCCCATGGTCAATATGTATTCTGCAAGGTTGTCAATAACTTTGCACAGGCAGTGAGTCAAATCTTCATTCTGTTAAAGGGTTATGGGCACTGCTGTTATCCAACACTTTGAACTATGTTGAGTTGTGTATCCCCCACTGGACATTTTGAATTCTCCCACCAGTCACTACTGTGTTCTTTAGTGAAATGAAGGCCCATGTTTTGAGGGGGGGATTTTATGTTGGTGATTTAAAAAATAAATACATAAAAAAGAAAATAGAAATAGAATAGAAAATACCTTCCTATTTCAAGCTATAGCCAACTGAAGTTTTCTAACACTGGCACAAAAAAGATCATGGGTATTATATAACCATGATAACAATAGGGCCATTCTGTATACTAATAATATTCATTAAAGAGCTCTTATTCTTAAATGCAACTTCTTGAGTGCAGTAACCAATAGCATCCAATCGGGCACTCTGCTGAAAGCATACCAGTACAAAGATGGATTCTGACCAGTTGTTATAACCTACTTTTTTTGTTTTGGATAGAGTAGGGGAGGGTTATAATGCCTTTCAGCTTTTTTTTGCCATCCAGGGAGATTTTCTTCCACTTCCTGTCTCATAGCTACAACAGGAAGTGAGAGGAAATGCCTCCAAAGTTAGGGAAATCCTGGGTAGGGATGGACAGTGGTTCATGTAAGTAAAACACCTTATTTATATATATTTTAGTCTAGTGGCAGAGTCGCTTGCTCATGCTTTTGGCTCCTAAAACCTTTTTTTTCTGTTACCATTGCCCTTGAAATTCTTACTTCTGATGGGAGTGAGTCGCTTGGCTTTAGCCCTTAAACCCTTTTTGGTTGCCCGGGTTTTGAGTTTCTAGCTGGTGGCCACATATCAGCATCTGTTGCTGACCACTATTATAGATTTCACTCTGGTGATTCTGTTCCAATGGTTGATGATGAATTCCCTGTTCAGAGAAAGGAAATTGGTCCTACCTAGATAGAATTTCCCTCTGAA